AGGGTTGGACGAGAAGACCTTTAAGGTCTCTCCCAACTCTGTTATTCTATTCTATTCCTCAGGGTAGAGATGGAAAACGACTCCAGCTCTAGGCAAGACAAAGGGACACCAGGGCATTCCTGGCAGGTAAGAGAGGTATTATTGTTGTTAGCGTTTACTCAGCTAAACTGGCAGTACCCAGCCAACAATGGCTGGTCTCCAATGCTAAACCTGGTCAGATTTGGTTAGCACTTGAACAGGACACCACCCGGAAATCCCAAGGCTGAAGGCTACTCTGTAAAGTTAAAAAGAAAAGAAAATCTGGAAGACAGTAATTATTTATTTATTTTATTTATTTTATTAAATTTCTATACCGTCCTTCTCCCGAAGGACTCAGGGCGGTGAACAGCCAAAAGATAAAACACAGAGATACAAAATTTAAAATAGATTAAAACAGATTAAACAATTTGGCTAAATTTTAAAAATATCCCATAATTAAACAAATTAAAATTAGTGTTTAAAATTTAAATTTTAAAATTTTAAAAGGGAGAAGATTTAGGCCAGGCCAGCTTGATGAAATAAAAACGTTTTAAGCGCGCGACAGAAGGTGCGCAGATCCGGGATCCTCCGTATCTCCGGGGGGAGCTCGTTCCAGATCGTAGGTGCCCACACAGAGAAGGCTCTCCCCCTAGGGGCCGCCAGTCGACATTGTTTGGCCGACGGCACCCGGAGGAGCCCCTCTCTATGGGAGCGTACTGGCTTACAAACCACTTCCACTGTCACACACACACACACACACACCAAAAAAAAAATCCTAGCTCAAGAAAAACTATATTTACTCATGTATTCCTATATATCAATTAATTTCAATACATCTCTGGAAATAATATTTGTTATTCTCTTTACCTGCTACTGAGATATTCTATAAGTCATACAAGTAATCCTCAGTTAATGACAACAATGGGGATTGGAATTGCTGTTGCTAAGTGACAGTCATAAAGTATGATGCCAGGTAACTGCACCATTTAGTAAGAGCAATTCTGCCATTTCTGGTTGCTGTCCTTAAGTGAAATCTGTGTTGTCATTAAGCGAGGGCCTCACACAGTCACCAACCTCCCCATTGACTTGCTTGAGGGAAGCTTGCATGGAAAATTGCAAATGGGGATTGCACGACTGTGAAAAGATTGCAATGGCCACAACTTTGAGGACTGTTCATAAATACCACTTGTTCAACATTGTTGCAGGTTTAAACAGTCACTGAATGTGTGGTTCTTAACCGCATAAATGACCCTGTATTTTTAATCTAATACTCCATCATATGTGTACAAGTAGTCCTGTACTTATAACTGGTTTAATTTATTTCTGGTTTTCAGTAAAAAAAAAAAATGCCTATTGCAGACAATGGATTTTCTTAATGACTGCTGTATTCACTTAACATCCACAACATTTGCTTAACGCAATGACCACCGCCAAATAGATCACAAATTGGGCCAGTCATGTGATGATCTGCTAAACACCTGGCACAACCTTTGACCATAATTGTGGGCTCAATTGCGTTTATAAGTCAAGGACTACCTATAGAGCTGTTTAGATTGCAGAAGCCTGGTTCAGTCTTAGAATGTTTACTGAACTAGATCTTCAATGGTTAGTATAAGCATCACCATTCTACTGAACCTGAAATCCAATTATTTTAAAGCAACTGCGGATTTGTTCAATTAGAGCTACAGGCTCAGTGTAAACTTGATCTCTGACCTTTTAAGAAAAGTTTCTTAAAATATTTATTTATTTTATTTATTTATTTTATTCAATTTGTATACCGCCCTTCTCCTAGTGGACTCAGGGCAGTGCACAGCCAGAACTAAAACACATACCAATACAAAATTTAAAATTATTAAAAGAATTACATACTTTGGCCCAATTTAAAACAATTCAAATTAAAACCCATTGACAAATTAAAAGCTAAAAAACTAAAAAAGGGGGGAGGGTTCACGCCAGCCCTGCTTGATGGAAAAGAAAAGTTTTCAGGGCACGGCGAAAGACCCGGAGATCCGATATACTTCATATCTCTGGGGGCAAATCGTTCCAGAGGGCAGGTGCTGTCACAGAGAGGGACTCCTCAGGGTGCCGTCAGCCAGGCAATGTCGGCTGGCGACCCCCAGGGGGAGGGCCTTCTCTGTGGGAGCGTACTGGTCGGTGGGAGGCTATCGGCGGCAGAAGGCGGTCCCGCAAATACCCAGGTCCTATGCCATGGAGCGCTTTAAAGGTGGTAACCAACACCTTGAAGCGCACCCGGAAGACCACTGGAAACCAATGCAGCTCACCCAGGAGAGGTGTCACATGGGAGCGCCCCCTCGCTCCCATAATCCCCCGCGCAGCCGCATTCTGCACCAGTTGGAGCCTCCGGGTGCTCCTCAAAGGGAGCCCCATATAGAGGCTCCCCTTGAGGAGAGCCCCATATGCTCTTTCTTTTGACGTCCCCCTACAAGGTTCATCAAAAAGTACTCCATTAACATTTTTTTAAAAAAAAGTTCTTTGAATCTTAGCTTTTTTTTCCTGTGCCTTTAAAGCATACGCATCCATAATCCATTTTCAGCAACATGAACACACTGAATTATGGGTTTTGCCTGGAGGGTAAGAAAATATAACTGGACTTTCCTTGTTTTGCTTGAAGATGTTTCACTTCTCATCAAGCAAAACGTCTTCAAGGAAAACAAGGAAAGTCCAGTTGCCTTTTGAAAAAGCACCTTTGGGACAACCATGATCTGGATGACTGAGACTCTCTGTAGACAAGTAGGAAAATAAAATCTGTAGAAAATGCAGTGTGACGTTATTCCTTCTTTTCTAAAACCGGCTTCTGAGGAAAATTGTCCTCCGTTTTACCAGCTACACCGATTTGAAAACTACAGTCGTGCTGTCCCTTAATCTCCTTAATTTGGGAAAGATATTCCACTTCCTTCCATTCTCTTTTCTTCATTTGCTCTATGTTTTTAACATTTGAGTCATTTCACTTCCTTATAAATTGTTAACATATTTAGCCGGATGTTCCAAAAAAATGGAATATATGCAACAACTGAAGTATAAGGGCATTTATCATGTACCAATACCCCAAATAACACATTCTTCTATTTATTGTAGGAAGTTAGCACCCACCCCTTTCCTAGAGGAATGAAATATTTTTTAGGAAATATTAAAAAAGGCACAATATTATATTTCCCTGGATGAGAAATGGATAAGCATGTTTTGAAGCAGCTCCCATCTTCCTGCCCCCACCCTTTGTCAATGGGCCATTAAGGCCTGGGCCAGTCTATTCTACATAACAAAGATCTACCTCCTTCAGGCAGAGCCATAGTAGGAATTGCCAAAGATCCAACAAAGATAGGATTAGCCCTCTACACAATAGCAGCAGAACTCACCACATGTGACCTGGGAAGCACATGTGACCATCAGCCAGCAAGGCTAGCTAAGACCCCCACCCCCTGGGAGTCTGACAACCAATCAGGATACTCTTTCGGGGCCCCAAGAAATGCAAAGCCAGAAAGAGCATAAAAACCCATGGACTCGCTGTATTCCTCCCTTTTCTGTTCAGAAATTCAAGCCATGTGATCCTGTCCACTATTAAACCATCTTTCCAAACAGTCTCCATATTTCCAGTGTCTGTTTCCTCACTTGGAGCAGAACCCAGAAGGATGTTTCTTCCAACAATATCTTGGCCAAAAAAGTGAAACACAAAACATTAATCAAGAAATATGATGCAGTAAAAAAGGATGGCTCAGTTTTAATCACATAAAAACAGTTCTCAAACAGAAGACCTCCAAGGTCCCTTCCAACTCTATTATTGTATGTTCTATGTTCATTGGTAACTTCGAGTGGTCACTAAATGAACTGTCATTAGTCGAGTATTTATTATATAGATAGTGACCTGGTCATGAACCACCCAAAAGCAAAATTTATGTTCTTGTCAAGACATAAATATGGATGGCAATTTAATGGAAATGTTATTGAACAGATTAGGGCCTTCAAATCAGTGGTGGGTTGCTCCCGGTTCTCTCCGGTTCTTGCGAACCAGTAGTAAAAGTAGCGGGAGGTTCCACCCACTCGCCCTGATGTCATATTTTGCAATCTGTGCATGCTCAGAAGCTTCTGCACATGCACAGAAGAGTGCACACTCCTGTTGCGAACCATTAGTAAAGGTAAGTAGAACCCACCCCTGCTTCAAATATCAGATCTATTTCCTATGCTACAGTAACATTGGTTAATTATTGGCGGTGTTCACCCTTAATTACCACATAGATTAGGGGTATCAAACTCGCGTCGTCACGGTGTCATCACATGATATACCGGGACCTTTTTCCCCTTCACCAAACTGGGCGTGGGCGTGGCCAGCGCGTGACACATCTGACCTGCGGGCTGCAAGTTTGACAGCTTTGACATAAATAGACCTTTTCTTTTGATAAGGTGACCAATTTTTAGTTTATTTCAATCTACCCAATAAGGAAAGAACAGTGGTACCTTTAAAATCCAGGCTGTAGTAGGACTCTGTGTACATTTATCAGAGAAGGGGGCAGTGGTGGGATTCAGCCAACTCACATCACTTCGGGAGAACCGGTTGTTAACTTTCTGGGCAGTTTGGCAAACTGGTTGTTGGAAGAAATCATTAGGACAGAGAACCGGGTGTTAAATTACTTGAATCTCATCACTGGGCGCGGAGGTGGTGGTGTGTCCCGTGTCATGTCACACACACCCCCGTGGCGGTTTTTGCTCCCGGGGGGGTGCAGGAGGCCGAGTGCTGCCTGTCACATCCCCTGGCCACGCCCACCATGGCCACACCCACCCAGCCGGTCATTAGGGCAGAGAACCAGTTGTTAAATTATTTGAATCCCACCACTGGAAGGGAGCTATCCTGTTTGGTTGCACAGATGTGGATGCCATCAAGAGTCAAAGTTCATGAGAATGTGACTACTCGCGATGGTCTCATTGGCTGCTGGTAGCATTCCAATTCAACGTCTCTTCCTGTTGTAACTGCCACTTTGAACAGTTACTGGCCAATGTGTAAAAAATATCTTTCTGGACTTTGGAGCTAGGCCAAAGCAATGCTGGGACAGTTGGAACAGGATTAGCTTGGGATCGAGGAACATGAACAGGACTGAAGCCAAAATGCAGGTTAGAACTGTACAATTCACGTTAAAGTGTACTATTTTCGCTCCATTAAGCCAAAACGTTTTTGCAACGCAGACTAACCCCCAATGGTTTTTATTACTCATACATGTGGAATTAATTTCTGTACTGTGAAAACATTAAATGCCCTCCATCACCTTCTGCCTCTGTTTTACAGGGCCTATTTTTCCTTTCCAACCAAGACTGTTTAACATATTTAACATTTCTTCATTTCCAGCCTCTAGCTAAATTTATTTCAATATCTGGCCTCCCCTTTTCAAAATGCCAAGAGTTTGACAAGAAAAGGATTGCAAGAATTGGGAGGATTGTGGCTTAAAAGGAACACCGACCTAAATATCCCATCCTTTATCTGACAGTGTGAACATATCTTTGTCAGAATGTTATTGATATGAAGATGAAATTAAGAAAAACACTTTATATGCTAAATTTGTACCTGATAACTAGCTGTTAAAAACACTGAAACCTTCCAGCCAAAAAGTGTGTGCGTGCAACTTGTGAGCAACTGAAGGAACTGTCTTGTTCCCTGAATGTGAGTGAGAAAACACTTTTACCCTTCAATGTTTTATCTGCCCAAAAATATGAATCGCCACATAATTCAGGCAAAGCAAAAAACATTTATTAAGGGGAGGTCAAATCTTTATACAGGGTACATAAACAAAAGAATACATACATTTGATATATGTGATGCATCCAAAGGTAACAAATCAAATGATACACAATATCAATTAGATGTGAGAATTAAACAATAGAAAATATTGATCCTATATATATAACATTCCACAAGTGGCAAATTTATGTGTGGTGTCACCTTTCCCAGTCAAGTCTGCATTTTTCTTAATATATTTGCAAGTGTGTTCAAGGACTTCCAGATTATATTCTCTATTGTTTAGTTACTGTTTTTGCACATAAAAAAAAACAAAAGAAAAAGAAATGGTTTAGAACTAAAAGGAAAACATGATCTCCTGACCTTCAGAAGGAGACATGGATAACATGCTAAAATATTAGTATCATCTTTATTTAAAAGCTAATAACGAAGCCTAAAATTCCAGGTAATAGTAACAATGTTTTTTTTTTCACTTTAAAGTAGATTGCTCTTTTTTAAAAAGAGGCCTCTGAATCTCTAACAGTCACATGCCACTCAGGTGTATATAAGTGAGAATGATTATTTCCAGGTCAAAACATTTCAGTTCTTAATTCCTACAGGTCATATTCCTATAAAGCCACGTAAGTGTGCAAACACACCCTTTCTTGCTTTCTAGTTTAAACACTTGCTTTTTTTAAGGATTAACCAAGGATCACTGGCTATTTTTTCCCCTTTACTGCAGACCATAATTAGACAGACATTGGAGGGATTCTTTGGCTGTGGTATCTCAGCTCCTTGAATTTTAAAGATAATACTAAATGTGTGTATTATTTTCTTAACGCTCATGGTTGTTAAGGTATGTAGGTTTGCATTAGCAGAAATTGAGTCACTTTTCTATAGAAAAAAATGTAGGAAATGTTGTTTAAAATGTGAATACAAATGAAAATGTTTTGGTAACTAATGGTATATAACTTGAGATTGGTTTTTCATGTAAACGTTTTGAGATGTAGGATAGCCAATTTTTTTTAAATCCATACATTTCTCCCTCAGCAGTAAAAATTCAGTAACAGAACATAAATATTTGTTGCCTTTTTACAATAATCAAATTCTATCACTTTGCTATACTTTTAACCAAATAAGGATGGTTTTCACATGCTGAGCAATTTCTAACTGCTAGGAAATGTAATTTGGCAACCTTAGAGGACAAACAGGTTCTGCATTTTAGAGATGAATTTTGGAGAAGGCAACATCTGGTGACTCTCTCTGGACTGTAGGCCTACAATAGTCTGATTCATAAACTAACTATAGTTTAGCCTAGCAAATTATGCAAGCTAGCCCATGTAACTAATTGGTCTCAGTAAGTTGTGCAAACTCAACATTTGTGAGACAGATATACTTACAGGTAATAAACGGGAAAGAGAAATTAATCCTAATCATCAAAATAAAACAACTGGATCTGATTAATGATACTTAATGGTACTACTATCTGATTCTTAATGGTACTACTATCTGATAGAACAGCCATTAGGGCAGAGGTCTTCAAACTTGACAGCTTTAAGACTTGTGGACTTCAACTCCCAGAATTCTCCAGCCAGCTGGCTGGCATTATGGAATGAAGAACAGAAGCAATTGCTCCTATTATAGAACTCCACAAAAAAAAGTATCTGGTTTTTCTGAATAGACAGGGATAGTTTATATGATTCCTATCACCATTTTAAGTCCCCCCCCTTTGAGAGAATTAATGGTTTGGTCCATATTACTACAAAGGTATGCTAATTGATCTGAAATTAATTTAATTTGTAGAAATTAATTTCTCTCCTATTTTTCCTTTGCTACTATTCTGATTTTCCTGCTTTACCCTTCAAGAGGTTTTCTTTCTGCTTTCCCTTGAAAATGCTACATCTTTGAGATGAAAGTGCCCTCTACTGCCTGAAGCTCCTTGTTCAGGTAGGCCAATGATGGAATTACCTATAATTAAAACATTGCCATATTTTTTTTTCTTCCAGTTGTGTTTATAAAAATATAGTGCATGATTTTAATTTGATTTAATTAGTTCAATTTATATGCCGCCTTTCTCTGGAAACTCAGGGCGGCTATGGTGATTTTCATAAAACGAAGTTATGACACCATCCATGGCGTATGCTAGTCAGAAGGTGGTTATTTGTTGCTTAGTATTTAGGAGGTTGTGATTGTAAACTGGTTTCACATGGTGTAAACCCAGCCAACTGGGGTTTATTCACTAAACCATGGAGCATGTGTTATTGGGATGCAGTTAATTAACATCTCAATAGTCTTCAGGTTTCTTGGTACTTCCTAATCTAAGTCTATTATGGAGCCACACTTCAAAGTTCCTTTAGTGAAGAATAGTAGCTCTGAGACCAGTAATGAAATGTATTGTGACTTCCTCTGGCTATAATTCTAATGCTTAGCTAATATGCAAGTATGCAGGAGGTTGAATGTTTGTACAACTTGAACAGGCCCCCTTTCTGTATGCAATTAACCATGTGTGTGGGAACTAACCTGAGTGAGGTTAATATCTTCCATACGATGAAACCCAATTTTCCTCCTCTGTGTGTTCACAGGAACTTGAGAGTCATCAAGAGGTTAAAATCCACTCATGCCACATATAATGTAATCAGCTGAAATAAGTGTATGCAACAGACATACAGTAGTACCTCAGCACTCATTGTTAATTGGTTCTGGGAGGCGCAATGAGTACCCAAAATGATGAGTACCAAATAGTTTTTTCCCATCAGGAATAATATAGTGAGTCACAAGGCAACCAACACCAACAAGTTCTGGCTTGTGCGTTGAGTACCAAACAAACAATGAGTACCGGACAAAATTTCACATCAAAATGCATTGAACATCAAATTTGATGAGGTTCAAAGTAGTTGAATACTAAAGTACCATTGTATATCAATTCCATTATAACAATTCCATAATTATGAAAAGCTTAAGGGACATTTCAAATCCAGGATCCCTCAGGCAGTCGCTTTCATAACAAACTATTTTGTGTTAAATTTATATTTACTGACAATATTTTTCTTTGTCAGTAAATATAAATTTAACACTGGAATACCCCCAATCAGCTGTTCCCAGAACTGAATTTTAGCAACAGGTTCCTTGGTTGTGAGCTCTGAGTCTTGCTTTTTTTCTGCCTCTGAAAGCCGCCAAAACAGAGCTTCAGGGGAAAAAAAGCCTCTGAAGCTCTGTTTGGGGGCTTCTTTTCTGAAGCTCTGTTTCTGATGCTTTTTCCAGCCTCTGAAACCTCAGTTTGAGAAGCTGGGCAGGGCTACATTCGGAGTATAAGACGCACCCAGATTTTCACCCTCTTTTTGGGGGGAAAAAGGTGCATCTTCTGAAAAGAGAGCTGAGAAAGTTTCATCATCATTCATATTGCTGGAGAAAACTAGAGAAGTCTGGAAAGAAAGTTGCAGTAGGGCTTGTGTACTCTTAGTGCCTCTCTCGCCAATAATCTCGGCCCAAACAAGTGGAACTCACAAAATCAGTAATAATATATCCCAGTGTTTCCTGTCTTTCATCGGTGAAATGGCAGTAAAGCTTTCCTTGGAGATCAAGAAAGTCAAGATGGCAGCAATAACTCTATGATCGAAGCTCTATCTCTTTGTAACATGTATAGCAACTGCCATCTTTACTTTTTTGAGTGGCTCTGTCAGGCTGGATCAGGTCTTTGTGTGGGAGAACGGCAAATCTTTTTATCATTTGGCTCACTTCCTGAGCCAAAATACCCTATATTTTCAATTAATGAAAAGCTTGAGAGCAACCCTGCTTTCATCAGAAGGAATATTAAGAGGGTAAATTTCTACTTGAAAAAGGAAATTCTCTCCAGTGAGTGAATGCTCTAGTCCAGGAGTGTCAAACTGGCGGCCTGCAGGTCGGGTGTGTCACATGCAGGCCACGCCCACCCCAGCTCCGCGAATGGGAAAAACATCACGAAACGGCACGTGACAGCACGGTGATACGGAGAGTTTGACACTCATGCTCTGGTCAAATTTCATCTTCCTGTTGTATAGGGATCAGATTACCTGGCATTCCTTATCATTATGAAACTTGTTTGCATTCTGGTTTGATGCTTAGTTTGCAGAAGAAAGATGCACGAGAACTATTCTCATTTATACCTGAGGCACGCCCTGAAGTATAGTTGTAACAAGTATTCCAATCAGATTCCTATTGAGATGTATATGAATTCATGGTGACAGCGGACTAATAACTAGATTGTCCCTAACAATAATACAATTTATGTGAAATATACCACTTTAGGAAGTCCAATGTTGTTCATTTAAAATAGTTATTTTAAAATAACAATAAGAAAAATATCAGTATAAACTACACTGCTCAAAAAAATAAAGGGAACACAAGCAGAAGACATCCGAGATCTGAATGAATGAAATAGCCTTATTAACTACTTTGTTTATTACATACAGTAGTTTTGTGTTCCCTTTAGTTGTTTGAGCAGTGTATAAACTACTGTACGTAAAGAACAAAGTACTTAATAAGGCTATTTCATTCATTCAGATCTCAGATGTCTTCTGCTTGTGTTCCCTTTATTTTTTTGAGCAGTATATTTCTTCTCTTTTCAAATGTGCATTCTTGTACATTTGAAAAATGGAGTGATCCTTATGCAGTTGAGGAGAAATTCAAAACATTGGTCCTATGTTTGATCTTATTGGTCTGATTGCTAAAAGCACATCTGGGTTGTAGGTTTATATGTAAGACAGTTTTCTGTTTATCTTTGTACACATAGGAAGTGATCTTGCAATAGTGCAGTTGTACACTTAATAACACAGGTGTAAAGGGATGCGGTGGTTCAGTGGTTAAGACACTGAGCTTGTCGATCGAAAGATCAGCAGTTCAGCGGTTCGAATCCCTAGTGCCACATAACGGGGTGAGCTCCCGTTACTTGTCCCAGCTTCTGCCAACCTAGCAGTTCGAAAGCACATAAAAAATGCAAGTAGAAAAATAGGGACCACCTTTGGTGGGAAGGTAACAACGTTCCATGCGCCTTTGGCATTTAGTCATGCCGACCACATGACCACGGAGACGCCTTCGGACAGCACTGGCTCTTTGGCTTTGAAATGCAGATGAGCACTGCCCTCTAGAATCGGGAACGACTAGCACATATGTGCAAGAGGAACCTTTACCTTTACCTAAATCCTACTGAACATTCATTAGTAGAATTGTGTCACATTACAAGTCACACCAAATGAAGTTGGAATGATTTCTAGTTGAACTACACAAAATCAAATATCCTAGCTAGATATTCACAGCCAAGAGAAACTGCAGGCAGAAAAAAGATATCTTGAGGGGGAAAGTATAGAAAGTAACATGTCCATTCTGCTTAATATAATTTTAAATATACAGCTTTTGAGTAGAACTCCACCTATTCGGTGATATCATAATACCACCAGATAGCCTCCTATATCTCTTCGAAATTTGTGGCCTCTGAATGCCAAAATTGTCTATCTATTATAGTTAATTAATTTTATTGCACTTTCCTAGTATAAATAGAATGTGGATAAAGGGTCTCCTCCCTCCCTCTTCTACAGGGCCCAGCCCAATTTTTTTTTCCAAATTAAAATATTTACAAACCCCTCGCATCCTGGACATAAATTGTTTCAACTCCTACCCTCAGAACGATGCTATAAAGCACTGCAAACCAAGAAGACACAAGAACAGTTTTTTCCCAAATGCCATCACTCTGCTAAACAAATAATTCCCTCAAACAGTCAAACTATTCACTAAGGCTGTATTACTATTACTATTAGTCTTCTCATGATTCCTATCACCCATCTCCTCCACTTATGGCTGCATGAGTGTAACTTTGCTGCTTACAATTTATATTGATATTGTTTCCTGATTGCTTATTTGTACCCTATGGCTATCATTAAGTGTTGTACCTTATAATTCTTGTCTTTTTATGTACACTGAGAGCATATGCACCGAAGACAAATTCCTTGTGTGTCCAATCACGCTTGGCCAATAAAGAATTATATTCTATTCTATTCTAAAAAAGAATGAGAAATACCCAAGCACAATTTTACAACATGCCATGGTTTTTGAGTCTCAAGTACAAATATATATGCTTTTCCACACTGTTCGTTAACAATTGTACCAGTAAGAATTACTTCAATAGTTGAGAAAAAATTATCCTGTTGCTCTGATTATTTTTTTTTAAGTACTTTCCTCTATAAATACTGGTAGTGCTTTTACATAAATGCAAGGAATGTGTTTCTAAGCTTCAATTTATAAATGCTATTAACTTTCTCTGGGTTATCCTTGTAAATTTCAGGAAGGCACAGTGATGGTGACTCCAGCCCACAATACGTCAGTTGACTTCTATATCACCACCTCGGAGCTGAAAAATCTGATGCAATTTCGAAAGAAAGAAGCAGTGAACAAAATAAGAGAATTATACGGCGACATCTTTGAAATCTGTAATCGTCTGAAAACATCTCCTACAAATGGAATATCTTCATCAGAAGTAGAGCTTAGGAAATCTGTGTTTGGACAGAACTTTATACCCCCGAAAAAGCCCCTAACATTCCTTGAACTGATATGGGAAGCACTGCAGGATATGACATTATGTATCTTGGAAGTTGCAGCCCTGATATCATTAGGACTATCGTTTTATCATCCTTCTGGGATAAATCTTGCAGTATGTCGTTTGGAAGAATTTGAAGGAGAAGAAGAAGAAGGCAACACCGAATGGATTGAAGGAGCTGCTATTCTTCTATCGGTTATTTGTGTGGTGCTGGTAACGGCTTTCAATGACTGGAGCAAGGAAAAACAGTTCAGGGGGCTGCAGCATCGCATTGAAAAGGAACAAAAAGTTACTGTTGTCAGGAATGGGGATGTAATACAGATCCCAGTAGTTGAATTAGTGGTTGGGGATGTCATGCAGATCAAATACGGGGATCTTCTACCAGCTGATGGCCTGCTTCTCCAAGGCTATGATTTGAAACTAGATGAAAGCTCCCTCACCGGGGAATCTGATCAAGTCAAGAAAACTTTAAGACAGGATCCTATGTTGCTGTCAGGTACCCACGTAATGGAGGGCTCTGGAAAAATGGTTGTTACAGCTGTTGGTATTAACTCACAAACTGGCATTATCCTCACTTTACTTGGAGTTGGAGAGCATGAGAAACCAAATGAGGCCAACAAGAATGGTTCCCCTAAGAAGAAAGAAGAGAAAATAGTTGAAGACAAGGAAACACAGGCATCTGAGGAAAGCCCAAAAGCTACTGGGCACAAAAAAGAAAAATCTGTCCTCCAGGGGAAACTTACCAGATTAGCCGTGCAAATTGGCAAAGCTGGGCTGGCAATGTCTATAATCACCGTCACTGTTCTTATAGCCTCTTTTTTCATTCGAACATTTGTGATAGAGAAGCGTGTTTGGGCTGTTGAGTGTACGCCTGTGTATGTACAATATATAGTGAAATTCTTTATCATTGGCGTGACAATTTTGGTTGTAGCCGTGCCTGAGGGCCTCCCACTTGCAGTAACCATCTCCCTTGCCTATTCTGTGAAGCAAATGATGAGAGATAATAATTTGGTCCGGCATCTGGATGCCTGCGAAACTATGGGCAACGCAACAGCCATTTGCTCAGATAAAACCGGGACCTTAACAATGAATAGAATGACAGTGGTTCAGATTTTTATTGGGGGTAAACATTATAAAATTGTTCCTGCCCCTGTTTTAATTCATCCAGCCTTGTTGGCTTATCTGCTGAAGGGTGTTTCTGTTAACTGTGCCTATACATCCAAGATCCTGGCTCCTGAAGTAGAAGGAGGCTTGCCCCGTCATATTGGCAATAAAACTGAATGTGCTTTACTGGGCTTGCTTATAGAATTAAGTCTGAATTATGAGGCCATGAGGACTAAAATCCCAGAAGAAACATTGTATAAAGTGTATACCTTCAATTCTGACAGGAAATCTATGAGCACAGTTTTGAAAAATGCTGGTGGTGGTTATCAGCTCTTCAGCAAAGGTGCTTCTGAAATACTTCTTCAAAAATGCACCAAAATATTGAACTCTGCTGCAGAGCGTGAACCTTTTTCCAGAAAGGATAGGGAAAATGTGATTAAAAATGTGATTGCCCCGATGGCTTCTGAAGGACTCCGAACCATCTGTATTGCTTTCAAAGATTTTCCAGGTGGCCCTGATTCAAGCGAACCAGTATGGGACGACGAGGACACTATTATTAAGGATTTAACCTGCATTGCAATTGTGGGCATTGAAGATCCAGTCAGACCCGAAGTTCCAGACGCAATCAGGAAGTGTCAGAACGCTGGCATCGTTGTCCGTATGGTCACTGGGGACAATATTAACACAGCACGGGCAATCGCAGCCAAATGTGGGATTCTGCGGCCCGGGGAGACCTTTCTGTGTTTAGAGGGGAATGAGTTTAATAGATTAATTCGTAATCAGAATGGGGAGATCAAACAAGAATTGATAGACAGGATCTGGCCTACCCTAGCCGTGCTTGCAAGATCCTCCCCAGCCGATAAGTATAACTTGGTGGAAGGGATCATCAACAGCAACATCACAGAGCAAAGACAAGTGGTAGCAGTCACTGGGGATGGTACTAATGACGGGCCGGCATTAAAAAAGGCTGATGTTGGCTTTGCCATGGGAATTGCTGGAACAGATGTAGCTAAGGAAGCTTCTGATATTATTCTTACCGATGACAATTTTTCGAGTATTGTCAAAGCAGTGATGTGGGGTAGAAACGTGTATGATAGCATTTCCAAATTTCTTCAGTTTCAACTTACAGTCAATGTAGTAGCTGTGATAGTTGCTTTTACGGGTGCTTGCATCACCCAGAATTCCCCTCTGAAGGCAGTTCAGATGTTGTGGGTTAATCTCATTATGGATACCTTTGCTTCCCTTGCTTTAGCCACAGAAAAGCCAACCGAAGCATTGCTGAAACGGAAGCCTTACGGTAGAAATAAGCCACTCATCTCCCGTATAATGATGAAAAATATTTTCTTACATGCCATTTATCAGCTTGTGGTGGTCTTTTCACTACTGTTTGTAGGAGATCAATTATTTGATATTGAAAATGGGCGAGCCTCAACACTGCAGTCCCCACCCACCCAACATTACACTCTTATATTTAACATATTTGTAATGATGCAAATTTTTAATGAAATCAATGCCCGAAAGATTCACGGAGAACGGAATGTTTTTTCAGGAATATTCAAAAATAGCATTTTTTGCGGTGTCACTCTTGGAACCTTGATTGTACAAGTTATAATCGTTCAGTTTGGAGGGAAGCCCTTTAGTTGCACATCACTTACCGTAGAGCAATGGATGTGGTCCATCTTTTTTGGCCTGGGGTCTTTGATATGGGGACAATTCATCATTTGTATCCCTACCAGATATATGTGGTTCCTGAAAGAAGTTGGAGAGCAGCCCCTCAAAGAGGAGATAACAGGACAAGAAGTAACTGAAGTGATTGACTTTGGCGAACAGGAATTGCGTCACAGCCAAATTTTGTGGTGCAGGGGCTTAAGCAGAATACAGGCTCAATGCAGAGTAGTGAATGCCTTTCGCTATCCTGCATATAAAAATCCACACTCGGCAATGAGCAGTAAAACTATCTGACCAGACACTAAAACAGATTCTGAAATGGTGGTTTTATTCTTGGTGAATGTTGATATTCAAAGAGAATGTGCACATTAGCTCCATTAAGAAATGGGTGGGGAAATGGGGCTTCACAGCAGTCGGTGAAGGAGACACATTTTTGAAGCTATCTAGCAAAATAGAAGTTTCTGGTCTGAACTTAATTCCAAGTAAATGGGAGAAAGCATAAGAAATCAGTACAGCAATACAATTAACACTTCCTTTATGTAGGGGTCTAATCATTATGTTAGCAGACTTGTCCTGGATTTTGAGACATTAATTTCTTTTTGCAGAAAAGATGCCTTCAGAGAAAAGAGGAGTGATGAAGCCAAAAATCCATGTCTTTAATTTTTTTATATTTATATATTTATTAATTGAAAGATGATATGCTTATAAATGATAGATGTTAAACAGTGCATATAACAGCATTTATCTTTGCTCCTGTTTATGCCTATAATTTGTGTCAATTGACTGAGTCGCCCGAGGCCCTTCATCTGGGCCGCCCTCCCAAGCACTTTCCTTCTTTCCTAAGGCCGCAGGCTGTGAATCTAAGGAAGCAGGATAGATGCGGCTACAAGCAGGCTGAATGTACTTTTATTTTGTTGTTGGCAGTTCCTTATGAGCAAAAAGTATATGAACAATAATAAAAAAAAAATGCTTCAAACTATTTTTGCTTTGGTTGGTTAATTAACAATCAGAAAAACCAAAATAGTTATTTTTTACAAAAAGAGGAGAGAGTCCTATAAACTAGTAATGTAATCATCTTTGCCAACCTATGTATTATGGATAATTTTTCCTCTAAGAATATCTTCCAGAAATATATAGATGGTCAAAGGTGATTAATGTGATAACTTCCTAGTAGGGGTGTCTGGGGATGGAGAGGGTGACAAGATATTAGACTTGTTTCCCTCTTGTAATTGGGGCATAAAAGATACAAAAGTTCAACTATCAGCTATGCCCATGATGGCAAACCTATGGCACGCACATTTCCGGCCCGCACATGCGCGCCAGCCAGCTGGTTTTTGCAGACACTGGAGTGTCTGAAAACAGCTTGAAAACGGCCCCCCAAACGGCCAAAAAACAGGCCATTTGTTGGGCCATTTTCAGAACTGTTTCCGGGCCTTTTTTTAGGTTGTTTTTGGGCCGTTCTTGGGCCATTTTCTGGATTGTTTTTAGGCTGTTTTTGGGCTGTTTTCAGGCCATTTTTCGGGCTATTTTCAGGCAGTTCTTCGGGTTAAAATGGCCGAAACATGGCCAGAAAACCACCTGAAAACGGCCTGAAAAACAGCCAAAAAATGGCCAAAAAGAGGCATGTGCATGCCAACCAGCTAGTCTTTGGGTTTCCGGTGCTCCAGTGCGCGCACCTGCACACACCTGCACACGTGTTCTGGTTTGGGCACAGGGTGTCAAAAAGGTTCGCCATCATGCATTTTAGAAGGCCTGAGGTAACTTAGAAAGTTGAGGATATATAATGTTTCCGGGACTGGGTGGTACTTCAACGTTCAAAAGAGAAAAGACACTTTGGGGAGCACGGGGGAATGAATGTTGCAACTGGCTACAACTTCAAATGTGTCATATACCCTACATACAGAATAACAGAGTTGGAAGGGATCTTCGAGATCTTCTAGTCCAACCCCTTTCTCAAGCAAGAGGCTCTATGCCAGGGGTGTCAAACTCGGGATCCATCCTGCGGGGTGCTTAGGTCTGGTCCGCAGGGCTACCCTGGAAACAGTGAAGGACCGGCCCGCAGTGCCTCTGCCAGCAAAAACGGAGCTTGGGAAGGATGCGTGCAGTCTTCCCGGGCTCCATTTTTGCTGGCAGAGGGTTCTAGGAGGCCATCGCAGCTGAAAATGGAGATTGAGAGTCCGTTTTCGCTGGCAGAGCATTTGGGCCACCACAGGTGCCCCCGACACGAGTGACATCAAGCGGGCCATGCATACCCTGGCCACACACACACCAGCCCTCCCAAGGTCCTTGGTAGTACAGGGGTTTAAGGCACCCTGTTATTAAGCTGGTTATTAAGACCAGCTGCCTGCAATTACTGCAGGGTTCGAATCTCGCCAAGGCTCAAGGTTGACTCAGCCTTCCATCCTTTCTAAGGTAGGTAAATTGAGGACCCAGTTGTGGGGGCAATAAGCTGACTGTATAAATATACAAAAGGATGAAGGCTATTGCTGAGCACATTGTAAGCCGCCCTGAGTCTTCGGAGAAGGGCGGCATATAAATCAAATTTAAAAAAAAAAAAAGGTCAGACAGAGCCCTGATGCAGCTCTCAATGAAATCGAGTTTGATACCCCTACTCTGCCATTCCAGACAAGTGGCTATCCAGTCTCTTCTTAAAAGCCTCCTGTGCTGGACCCACAACTTCTGAAGGCAAGCCATTCCACTGATAGTTTTTTCCACTGTTAGGAAATTTCTCCCTAGTTCTAGGTTGCTTCTCTCCTTGATTAGTTTCCATCCCAGTCCAATAGTTTTAACTCCCACCTACCTACCCCCAAAATTTCTGGTTTGGTCATTCAAAAGTTATTTGACTAGCCTGAAGGAAAGTGTGATCTGCAAATGACCTATTCAAATCTGAGAAAAACAAAACAGAAGTTGAGACGTTCTATCGTTTTTCCACTATTCTAATCTATCTAAACAACAGAGCATTTTCCTTTATTAGCCCAGTTTGGATAGACATGTTTTGTATGTGAAGCTTAGCTGTCCATGAGCTTTACGTTCAATCAGGCTTGCATGCAGGAATTCCTGGCTAAAAGATGTCCTGTCCCATATAAAGGAGCCACCAATTTGATTTTTTAAAAATCCCTGTTCTCTAACTTGTCCAGAAAGGTTCTCTCTCTTCTCAAATACCAATGCTGTACCATTTTAGGACTATAGAGAGAAAACCATTATGACCCAGTATCGCACAAGACATTATTATAGAGCAGGGGTGGGCAACTATGATCCCTATACGGCCTGTGTGGACTTCAACTCCCAGAATTCCTGAGCCAGCCATGCATGGCTCAAGGATTCTGGAAGCTAAAATCCACAGATTGTAAAGTTACCATAGTTACGCACCCCTGTGATAGGACAACATTAATTTAAAAAACTCACACTGGGCAAATTTTTTTTAGAAAAATTACTTTTCACCAAGCCAGAAAGAGAAGGATACAAACTCACAATGAACTCCTTTCTTCATCCATAACTTAAATCAATGAAGAGGAAGGGCAGCCAGCTGTAAGCTCTCGCTCTCTCCCCCGTGATTTTGCTTATTCCAAGGAGCCCTTTAGAATAGAATAACAGAGTTGGAAGGGACCTTGGAGGTCTTCTAGTCCAACCCCCTGCTTAGGCAGGAAACCCTACACCACTTCAGACAAATGGTTATCCAACATCATCTTAAAAACTTCCAGTGCTGGAGCATTCACAACTTCTGCAGGCAAGTTGTTCCACTGATTAATTTTCTAACTGTCGGGAAATTTCTCCTTAGTTCTAGGTTGCTTCTCTCCTTGATTAGTTTCCACCCGTTGCTTCTTGTCCTGCCCTCAGGTGCTTTGGAACATAAGTTGACCCCCTCTTCTTTGTAGCAACCCCTGAGATATTGGAACACTGCTATCATGTCTCCCCTAGTCTTTCTTTTCATTAAACTAGATATATCCAGTTCCTGCAACAGGTCTTTGTATGTTTTATCCTCGAGTCCCCTAATCATCTTTGTTGCTCTTCTTTGCACTCTTTCTGGAGTCTCCACATCTTTTTTACATCGTGGCGACTAAAACTGAATGCAGTGTGGCCTTACCAAGGCATTATAAAGTGGTATTAACTTTCACATTTAGAGGTATCAGAGATCAAATCTCCTTAATGTATCAGATTTCAGCCAAGCCAGGGTGACCAGAAAGCAGATAGAGGCCTTCCAGGAGCTGAGGTTATCCCCTCAATAGATTGCCTCCTCAGATATCGGAAAGAAAAGTCTACCTTCCTCTTTCTCACCCAACTATTTTCAATGGCATTCATTGGAAGCTATGACATCACACGTATCAAAACATCTTCTTGTAGATGATACAATTAGCATCGGTCATATCATGACACAAATGACAAACAGCACCTATTTTGCACAGTGACATCTTGATGCTTATGATGGCATTCTTGTCTCCATAGACCGCCATGCTTGTTCATTCTGGCTTCTTCCCTAAGAATTGCCATGCACAGCATTGCACACCAATGAACAAACCCAATTCACTGCTTTCTCTCAATACTGCTTAAATGCTATTTCCTAAATTTATTATTTATTTTTATTTATTTATTTTTATATGCCGCCCTTCTCCGGAGACTCAGGGCGGCTTACAATGTGTTAAGCAATAGCCTTCATACTTTTGTATATTTTATACAAAGTCAGCTTATTGCCCCCACAAACCGGGACCTCATTTTACCCACCTTAGAAAGGATGGAAGGCTGAGTCGACCTTGAGCCTGGTGAGAATTGAACTCGCAGTAATTGCAGGCAGCTGGATGTTAAATGTTGCCTTAGTAGGAGGCATTAGCCTCCTACGCCACTCAGGCTCTTAAATCATGTCCTAAATCATGTGAAAAATGAAGAAGAACTTAAGAGCCTCTTGATGCGGGGGAAGAAGGAGAGTGCAAAACTTGGCTTGAAACTCAATATTAAGAAAACTAAGTTCATGGCATCTGGCCCTCTCAATTCCTGGCAAATAGATGGGGAAGAAATGGAGGTAGTGACAGATTTTATTTTCCTGGGCTCCAAGATCACCGCAGATGGGGACTGCAGCCAAGAAATTAAACGACGCTTGCTCCTGGGGGGGAAAGCTATGGCAAATCTAGACAGCATACTAAAAAGCAGAGACATCACCCTGCCAACAAAAGTGCGTATAGTCAAGGCTATGGTTTTCCCAGTTGCAATGTATGGCTGTGAAAGTTGGACCATAAGGAAGGCTGAGCGCCAAAGAATTGAGGCCTTTGAACTATGTGCTGGAGAAGACTCCTGTGAGTTCCTTGGACCAGAGGTGCGTTTCAGCTGGTTCTGACCAGTTCTGGAGAACCGGTAGCGGAAATTTTGAATAGTTCAGAGAACTGGTTCTGACTGGCCCCACCCCCATTCTATTCTCTGCCTCCCAAATCCCAGCTGATCAGGAGGAAATGGGGATTTTGCAGTAACCTTCCCCTGGATTGGGGATGGAATTGAGATTTTACAGTATCCTTCCCCTGCCATGCCCACCAAGCCACGCCCACCAAGCCACGCCCACAGAAACGGTAGTAAAAAAAATTGAAACCCATCACTGCCTTGGATTGCAAGGCGAGCAAACCGGCCAGTCCTAGAGGAGATCAACCCTGACTGCTCTTTAGAAGGCCAGATCCTGAAGATGAAACTCAAATACTTTGGCCACCTAATGAGAAGGAAGGACTCACTGGAGAAGAGCCTAATGCTGGGAACGATTGAGGGCAAAAGAAGAAGGGGACGGCAGAGAATGAGGTGGCTGGATGGAGTCACTGAAGCAGTCGGCATGAGCTTAAATGGACTCCAGAGGATGGTAGAGGACAGGAAGGCCTGGAGGAACGTTGTCCATGGGGTCGCGATGGGTCGGACATGACTTTGCAACTAACAACAACAACAAAATCATGTCCTATTTTTAACTACCCTACTAGGCCACCTGTCTCTGTAACCCACATTTTGTCTACA